GAAGAAGAAGAAGAAGAAGAAGAAGAAGAAGAAGAAGAAGAAGAAGAAGAAGAGGAGGAAGAATTACGCTGTCCCTTTATCTGTCCAGAGGAAATACTAATACCTTGTGGCGGTCATTCTGTCTCAGTTGTCCGTGAACTGAACGGTGCGCGTGTACTGGTGACGTACTGTCGTGAGAGATATTTGCATTTGTGTGCATGGGTTGAAACGACAACGTGCGAATAATCAATCACGTTTAATTGTTTGGGGATTTCTGAACGATATTATTCCCACGCTGTGTGATATTTTCTTAAAATAGTTTTTTAAGATTCGTCTTGTTTTGTCTTGCTCAGGGTTCTTTTGTAGTTTTGTTCGGGATTGCTTTTTGTTTGTTGTTTTTTGTTTGTTTGTTTGTTTGTTTGCTTGCTTCTTTGTTTGTTTGTTTTTTGTTTGTTTGCTTAGGGAACAGCAGGTGCCTTCGAACATAAAACATCAAACTCACATGTATCACGAATATTAACAATATCATTATACTTATTGTCATCATAATCATCATTATTGTCATTAATAAAATTATTTTCATAATCACTATCATTGGCATTCTTATCATTATTACGATCATTATCATTTTTCTACGCCACCCACCCAACCCCCAGGTGTGAAGATCCCAATGACCGCCCCTGTAGCCACACAGGTTATCCACGGAGCTGGACCTAACTGTGAGAGCGACTTCGTCATGCACTTTATGTTGCCTCACGCTTACTGGCCGTCTCCGATACAGCCCAAAGACGCCTCAGTTTTCATTGCAGAGATGCCTGCTATGGATGTGTATGTGAGGTGAGCATCGTGCCTGGAGAGAAAAACTTTTTATGTAGATGTTTTAACCACCCCCCCCTCCCCCCACCCGCCAATCGGCACAATTTTGACCATTTGGGGAGCGGGCTTCGAGCCCGTCTGTCACGGACGGGGTCAACCCAGCAGAGAGGGATTCAACATATCAAGAAAAAGAACGAAACACTGGAAAATAATTCTCCCCACTCGGATCTCCTGCGTGCGACAGCGAAGCGCCTGACCACCGACGCCAGTGACTAACGTACAAAGATTTCACGCGCAATAGGCTGGCAAAACTGTCATAATATCTAATAGGTTTTATCTAATAATAAAAAAAATAATAGAAAGTTTGAGAAGTGATAATAGTGGACAGACAGAACAGGCGGTAGATAAAAGACAGAAAACAGACGATGGTTTATTGCTGAAATAAGACAGCGTAGACAGTCACAAATTGGAATATAAGAAAGAGACAAAAATGAATTTCCTTGCACACTTGAATCGACGTAAAGGCCCTGGATATCTTGCACTCACTGGAAAAATAGCAGGCAAAAGAGGCAGAGGTAGATCAAGAACAACTTAGAGGACCTGAACAGACGGGCGACGAGCGCTGCTGATGTTTGCTTCAGATCTGAATTTTAGAAACGATGAAAAAAGAAAAGAAAATGATAGATGTTTTATTGCAGAGACTATAAGAAACATAACATTTGAGTTTGTTAAAAAACAAAGACGTTGGGCTTTTGTCCTTCAATGATAACGAACTTTGTTTAACAGACACGAGTTAGCAGTTCG